GGACCGGCTGCCTCGCTGTCGGTGGAAAGAAAGAAAGGAAAGAAAGGCCATATTATCAGATTTAAGAACCTAATCATTTCTAACGAAACTGCACAGCATATGACAACGAAATATAGTCTTGAAAAAATTTTGTTGAAAATGTTTCCATCTCTCAGTTTCAATAAAAATTTTACTAAATCAAAATAATGTTTTTATGTTACTTCTAAGTATTAAACTATAACTAAAAACCAGGAAATTGTGTTTTATTAGCAGTTCATCATGTTCGGCCTACGTAAACATTTGCCAAATAAATAGTCTGCAGCATGGAACAATTTTATTCTTCTTTATTGCAGACTTTAGCATCAGAATATATTCAAGATTATCTGATGACTAAAAATCTTGATTGTTTCAAGATACTGCTATTAAGTTAAAAATAAATATGTAATTTCTAGTTAATCAAAAATTTTATTCAGTCATTTATAATAATTTGCTATTATAAAACTGCTCTGGAATTTAGCTAACATAGTTTTTCACATTAACGTGCGCATTTACGACTGATGGTTTAATAATTGTCACTAGTTGATTGAGTGTGTGAAAATATTCAGCGTTGTGATTATTTAGCTAGTTCCACTAGCTGATAAATCCGCGTATGAGAGAGCCATTTCTGAATGGTAATGCAAATATGAAATTTTAATCGTTCACATTAATTACTGATATTATAGTTCAAACACTAAAAGCCTAATGCAAGAAATGTAGATAGGTGGTTGGCTGATCTTAAAATTTATAGCATGAAAAAATAATCTTTCCAAATTCGGAAGGAAGGAAAAGATTTCTTATCATTGTTGTGTTGTGACTTGTCTCGCTTGTCTGATAATAACATCAGAACAAGCCCATGAAACAAGCCCATGAAAAAAGAGAACTTTCGGCTCGCCATGTATTTAGAGTGCCCCATGACGCAAAGACATCTCGAGCCTTTCGATACCATAGTAGGCTCCCCCAACAAGTATACTGTCTAGGTGACGTTTTCTTATCACTCGTTTTTGTAAACAATTCCAAAAATCTCGAGTATATATTTGTAGTATAGATTGAAACTATTAACTACTCAAGGCTTTTCTTCATCCCTATTACATGAAGAGACGTTACCTCTACACTGTTTCCTATAATAATAATAATATATTATATAGATATATATATCATAAAAACCAGGAATTTCAATGTGCATAACATAAATTGGGACTCAAAGCTAGCGTTAGTAATTAAAGTGATAAATGCTACGCTACTTTTTACATACAAAATTGGGGAATTTGTAAAATGAAAAGGCTTTAAGGATTCTAAAACAAGAGCTGAACAGATTGTAGAGCTGAAAGTTTTTGACAGTGTAATTTTAGCAGTACAAACTGCGTACAATAATCTTAACATCCGAAAATTTGGCACGGTAAAAGTCGACCAAGGAGTTAAAAAGCAGAAAGAATATACTTTTGAAATTATGCCATTACCTAATAAAGACTTTAAGGTTAAGTTATTTGAATATAGCAACGCAAGGGCTATCAGCCTAGAGGGATACCTTTATGGGGGATTTAGCAAGAGCGTTGAAGGAAACTTCCTGGTAGTCACACTGCATGAAGGAAACCACAAAAAACAACCATGCAACCAGCCCATTCGCCTGCGTTTAAACCCGTGTCGAACTACCGGTAGTCATCCGTTTTAAAAACTTCAAATCGAGAATATGTGATAAAGTAAATTCTATCGATTCTTAACCCTTAGAATGTAGCAAAGCAAGCTATTTTACTAATCGACCTTATCTTGAATTAGATTACAGATCAAGTCCACGAATTTTCTTATTGCCAAGCAGGGAAGCACGGCGCCTGTCATAAACCAAGGCATTGAGTATTTTCGAGGTAACAGAACGACTTCGCCTAACTTCCCCCCCCCAACTTTTGATGGAAATCACATTAAAAGACGGAATATAAGGATCTTTTACCCCCCCCCTTTGTAAATATTGTGCTTTAAACATATCTGTGTCTTCTTAGGAACTAAAACAAAGGGTTAAATTTGAGACAGTCGATGCTCGTTAACACTTATTATACCGGAAGTTCTATTATAACGATCATTGAAAAAAAGTTCCTAACCGGTAAGTGCATATTAAATTCATTTTCCTGTTAGCGATCACTCATTATAACGTCTTTGTTCTCAGGAAACGATGGATCATTATAAGAAATGTCATTTACATTACATTAAAATAAAATGAGATTTAAAACTTAGTAAGCTTAGGCATCCAGACAAATCGGATACTTTGCAAGCGATGTATCAAATTAGAACTGGAGAGCTCAGCAATCTAGAATTTCAATGAATTATAGCTAAATTTAGAAAAGAGGATCAACTGTTTTTATAATTAATTTGTTTTATGTATTTCCTTACACATTTCTACAGAGATATAAAATAAGGATAATCAACTTACCAATACTGGCTGTAAAAGAATTAAAGGCATCGTAGCCACCGATTTCCCAGCTTCTTGAAACAGAGCAGCCACCTGAGAACAAAACAGTTATCAATAGAATAAGCTTGATCATTTTTTAATAAGTTGTTTTTGTTGTTGTTACTTATGCTCACTTGTCTGACAGTAACATCAGCCAAGCCCACGAAATTCATCCTGGCAAGGAGCACAAGATTATGCCTATCATTGGCAACAGCCTTGAGCACCTTAAGATGACAGTGCAATTTAGCTCAGTTCCTCCCCACGTTTTGATGCAGAGCACCTCGGAAGGTCTCCGGGATTCGAACCCGAGCTCTTCGGCACGTCAGTCAGCCATGCTAACCACTATACCGGTTAGGTGGCATTCGATATGTTTAAAGCAATAATATTCGTGGTGTACATATAAGATTACATTTTATAAAATATGTATAAGAATTGTCAACATATTTTCAAAGAAGAAACAGTTAACTAATTCGTACGAGACAGAAAGGAAACACGCCAAAGTACCGTATATACCCGCGTATAAGTCGAGATATTTTGGACAAAAAAAAAGACTTCAAAGGGGGAGATCGACTTATACGCTGGACCGTAAAAAATTAAAAGAATCGGAAGTTCAAAAATTTATATAATGCAGTTGTTTTCTTCCCGCACTCAAATTGGACGACTTATCAAATAAGTCACTCGAAAATGATGTCAACTCGAAAATGACTTGTATGCTTGGGTTTTAGAGTGCCGGCAGAATGGTTTCATTGTCACTAGAACTGGCATACGTTTACGAGCAACGAAGCTTGCAAAAGAAGAAAAGTATGGTGTTCCAAACACGTTTCGCGCATCAAGACAATGGTGCACTAAATTTATGAATCGCCATGGTTTGTGTTTATGCCAACGCACCAAACTGGCGCAAAAGTTACCATCTGATTTGGAAGCAAAGGTTATGGAGTCTATGAAATGTTTGGCGAATCTGACCATGAATCGTACGTTGAAGGATTTTGATTTTGTTTATTTACCAAGGTATTTTTTATCGTATATTTACTTTTTTTTTCACAGATGATTTTGAATAAATGTAGTACTTAAAAAATTTTTTTCGAAGTTTCTCGATCGATTTCGGAAGTGGAGGGGGGTCGACTTATACGCGGTATCGACTTATACGCGGGTATATACGGTAAAACATAAAATTACCAAAGAAAAACCTTGTGTTTGGTGCAGATTTTAGTCAAGACCCTATCGATTTCAAGAGCACGCAGGTACATGTTCTTCTTCATCATGAGCAATGAAATTTGGAGCGAAGCGAAAGGCACGGTTGCAATTATACCCAATAGGTAAAAAGCGAACGAGAAGGTACTTATTACCTACCTTATTTATTCCGACAAATGGCGCTGCCTTCTCCTTCGTTTTATTCCTAGTGGATATAATTACAACTATTGCTTTCGCTTCGTTTCATATTTGTTTGCTCCTGATGAAAAGGGGCCTATATCTGTTTCCCTCGAAATCGATAGAATCTTAAATGAAAACTACGCCGAACACAAGGCTGCTAGATTTTTATCTTAAATGAAAACTACGCCGAACACAAGGCTGCTACTTTGCTAATTTTATCATTCTTACATTATCATTTTATCATTCTTACATTTTATCATTCTTACATTTTATCATTCTTACATTTTATCATTCTTACATTTTATCATTCTTACATGTAATTCATTATTGTTACATGTTAATGAAATAACATGTTACAAAATAAACACGTCTCCTAAAAGAAAGCTTTCTATTTGTTCTCTGCATCTGTTTCTGATATCGGCGAGTAGATGCTTTTATATATATCAATGTTGATTGCACCGATACGTAACTAAAAATAAAACATTTTCGACGGTTCTTCATTTCATATTTTTTAATGTATAAAATGGTATTTTTCACTTACAAGTAAAGTAAACCTTCTCTCCTTTGATACTGGTTTTCCGGAAACCTATGTATTTTCTGAAAGCGTATGTCACAAGCAGAAAAATGGTAAAATCTTGGGGGCAGAGGGACACGCGTTAAGGAGCTATAGGACCCACAATGTATCATTAAAATGTGCATGGATGGACATATTCCCGTAATGACGTCTCTATTTCTTGTATGTTCATTCATTGTCTACTTCCGAAGTACGTGATGGTAAAGTCCTACAAAAAGAACTGGTACCTCAAGGTTGTACGAGAAGGGTCCAACCTCTGGATATTCAATTTTTTTTTCAGACACTAAATCTTTTGTTCGTTACATAACGGACACAATCATTATCGAGACACAGGAGCACATTTGGCATCGCGGTAGTTTACTGGCCCTGCATTTCTTTTCCCTATATCAATTCAGCTGTCCTCGATTCAAGAACTTGATTAATTTTGTTTTTTATAAGGGCGGATACTACGACGACGAACCTGGAATGTGGATTGCGCCAATGAATTACTGCTTTAATTCATTGACAAATAATGAGTCTCCATCTTCTTACCATGTTATGAGTTCATATAAATACGTGAAACAAGCATTTTAGCGACTTTGGGTGCCATGTTTTCAACACTTTACTCATATTTTGTGGGTCTTTAGCTTCTAAACGCTTGTCTCTCTGCCCCTAAGATTTCAATTTTTCTACTTGTGACATAAGCTTTCAGAAAATATATGGGTTTCCGAATAACCGGTGTCAAAGGAGGGAAGGTTTACTTGTTAGAGCTGGGTTTGTCTGTATATGATCCGGAAAAAGTGTTGCATACCCTAGCTTTTATCAAACATAATTATATTACTATTAAACATACACACACAAAAAAGAATATAATAAATTGTTTAGATTGCTTCAGAAAGGAAAATTGAACAAAAAAAAAGTGAAAATCTATCAAGATATATCATTTTTAAATGAATTTAATTCATTTTAATTTGTTATTATTTTAAATTATGATTTATGATTTTAGATGTTATATTGCACGATATTCTTTAAAAACCTTTTTTTTATGATTTTCGCGTTTACAGTATATATGTCCATTTTTAACTATCCATGTTTATTCTACATACATGAAATTACAATTATAATTTTATTTACCTATTGAACAACAAAAAAGCAAATTAACATTCATCGAAATTAGGTCACATGATAAAGTATTTAATACAACTAATGTTGTTTTGTTCTTTCCTGCGATAAACCCAACAAAACAAAAGCAATGTTCTATACGTTATCTATTTAGAACCACTTTGTCGTTATGTTTTAAGTTTGAACTTCGGAAATTAGTTTTATTTACAGCACTAATATATCGAATTAAAACACAGAAGTTAATTATTACTTACCAATTTTATTTTATTTCTCATGATTAGAACCACCAATAAGTAAACCACCTACAATAATGCAACAATAAAAGTATATTGTATTATAAAAAAAAACGCATAAGCCATAGATTTTAAAACACATAAGCCATAGGTTTTTAAAACATGATATTTACAATTAAACTTATTCATAATAGCTATTCCTTAATTTATCAGAAAAGAAATAATATCTCATGATAACATATTCTGTAACATAATCCAAGATATAATATGAGAAAAGAAATAATAAATTCTAAGAAACCTCCAAAATTTATAAAAATATAATAACATAACAAACTTTTGAACAGAACAACAAAAGGCGCATATGCTTGTTTTTACTTCTTTGTATGAAGTATAGGAAGTATTGTAATCACGAAGAATTCTGGTTACCCATATTTCAACGAAAGTATTCATTTTGACCGAAGGCAATTTAACGATGTTTTCGCATGACATCTGTACGTAAGGACAGAATACCTCTTTTCCCCCAAATGAATTATTAATCTGATTTACAATGAATTCTGAAAATAATTTTTCGTGGCGTCTATGCGTACATACGTACGTATCTCGCATAACTCAAAAACTATCAGAACGTTGAAATTTTGTGTGTAGGACTGCTATAACATGCAGATGTGCACCTCGTATTTTGGTTGCAATCGGCCGCACCAAAAAGTATATAAATATATGTATATTATATGTATATATGTATTCACTCTATTACTCGGTTCAGTGAGCTCAGTTTCTTTATTCTTATATGTTTGTAAATTGTGCATTTTCTGCTTTAAAAATGATTGAATTATGTTCTTATCTTCTGGTTATGAGGAAGATTTTTATGCCTGTAATTAAACTGCATGTTATAGTTGTAGAATTATCTACAATTTAAAATTTGTTTAAGTGCAGCTAAGCCTAATTTTTTTACCATAGCAGCTATATTCGTTTACATTTGAAACTGAGCAGAATAGTGGATTTGTTGCCAATCTAGAGAAACTAAGCTTTCTAAATCCGTAATTATGGTGGCCTATTTTAAAAATATCTCTTTCTCTTAAAATAATCTAAAATAATATTACTTGAGTCTGCTAAATTTAGAGAAATTGAAGACTATTAGATATTTTAAGTGAAGTTTTAAATTTCGGCTCATTGTTCTATAATAATATCAAAGAATAAAAAAATAAAATATTTACATGAAATATGAATTTTTAAAATAATACATTCATGATTCTTTCCTCACCGAATTATTACTTTCGAAATAACATTTAATAAATGCGAAGTTTATTTTAATAATGAAACATAAGGGTTAAATAATAATTGCCCGCAAATTCAAGCCTGTTTTCTGATGCGTTAATAATTCCTGCGAGCCATAAAACTATTAAGATATTCAAGATGAAATATTCGGGATTGATTTAACGAAATCGATTAATCGATTTTATATTATAGTTTTTGTCATTATATTTCAAAACTGAATTTTACATTCTATTAATTACGCATAAAAATTTAATACAAAAAATATTCCCATCAGAGGAATTTTTCAATAAAAGTGATACTTCAATTAATTATTTTTAAGGAGCTAATTTACTTGAGATGCGAAACAACTTACCGTAAAGATTGTCACGATAATGGCTGCGGCAAACCAGTAATTGCCTTGCTTTTCTTTCAAATCCTTATTTGGTCCTTCATAACTTTCAAGATCTTTCTTCTTCTGATGCCACATAACCCTAAATAATTTGTTTCCGTTTATTTTTTTACTGTTTATTACACTTACATATAAGAAGAAAACGGAGAAATTTCTTTCCCTTTTTACTTCCTTGTACGAAGTAGAAAGGAAATATTGTTATTCAAAGAAGTTTGTTATTTACAGTATACTGTAAGGTAAAGGTAAATTAATATGAATCCTTGATATGGGAATGAAAACAGCATACATTGAAATCTAGCTTCCTAAATTATACAGAATCGATAACCATGGGATATTTGTGTCATAGATAATCTAAATGTCTGGGATCATTAATTTAGATTGTTAATTCTAAATAGTCCCAAGAAATATGTACTACTGCTTAAATAACTGCACCAGATAAGTTTTTTTAATTGAGGGAAAAAAGATAGGATGAAATGTTTTTATTGAGAGAAATCTCAAGTCGTACAATAAGGTAAATAACTAAATGAGAATGACAAAGCTAAAGCAAATTCTCCTTAACATGAAAAGTGTACTGAAGATCACTAAAATGGGAGCAAAGTCTAAAGCGATTATAAACGAGTAGGATATTAGCCAGCCGTAACTTCTGAATTGAATAACTCAACTGAACTATTCAAATTACCTGAACTAAGTTCTCTTCGGCTTCAATGCAGCTATATTTATACGGTTACACCTAGCAAGTCTGAATGGATCGAAAAAAATCGTCTTGCAAATAAGTGTTTTCCGAAAATCTTTAGAATGGCCCAAGTCTGTGAAAAATTGCCAGATGTAGTCTATTTGGTGATAAAAACCGTTCTGATTGTTCAAACCTATCTTTGCAATTTAAAAGTCGATCAGTTCCGAATTACGAGGCCTAATATATGAATTAAGCATTTGCAAGCAGGATCGGGGGCTAACATTTTTAACATATCTAATAAAAATATTACATAAAAGGTACTGGAATACTTAACTGAATAAATCACAACAACATATAACTTTATAAAAATGGATAAAAACAAACTACTCTCAATAAAAGCAAAATATTTAAATATAATTCAACAATATGTGTATCAGTTACTATTTTGATAGAAAAACTATAAGAACTAATTGTTCACATATTAGAGGTTATATGGTATATTTGCTTTGAATTTATTATGTAAACACCAAAGTGTTACCACTATTTCATTGCATTTAATAGATAAAATTTTTAAGAGCCTAAGAAGTTTTGTTTGGCATTTCAAATACTATGAAATCAAACGAACATTTCATTGATTACTAAATACACCAAATATCGAGTAGAGTTAGTTGAATGAACTTCTAAATATACTCTTCAAAAGTAACATTTTAATTGAATGCATAATGTCGACAGCGTCGTAGACTACATACGTCAAATACATTTCCTATTGCTGTTCGTAATTAAATACGTTTCATTTACGAACAGCACTCTTATTTGCCTAAGAAGGAAAAATAAACACGATTTACATAATGGCTTTCATGAGTTGCTTTAATCTGACAGAGTAAACTTGGAAATCAATGCACAGTTTTTGATTATTTTTTTAAAGTATTTATCGGATATAATTTCGTGTTTAGAGGTAGTCAGGCAGACAAAGAATAGAGCAATAAATAATCGATTTAAACGAAATGAAATGTTAGCTGATAATATTTTTTTCTAAATTAGCTTTCTCTTACCAGACATAAACAGTGACCGCAATGGAGGCAATGGTGACGATAATCAGCACAGCCCAGATGATGATGGAGGCACAATATCGGAAAATTATTAGAAGTAGCAGTGATAGACCTGCAGATAATAAATTAAATATGTTATATCTAGGAACATGGTATGTGGAAAGACATTTATTTCTGCAATTAAATCTCAGTTTAATAACACACATCATTTCAATCATGATGAAAGCTGATATGAAAAATAAGGATATAAAAACCTAAAGAAATGAATAAAACTGGACATAACTCGATGTCCACACAAGTCGGGAGATGGCGGTAACCATGCGACTGGTCCGGCTGTACCAGTCCAGCGATCAGATTATGTCCAATCGAGGTACTGTCACACAGTGCTGCTAAAATGTGCAGGCGCTCCATCAGGCTGAAACCAGGTGTTTCGGCATGTTAGGTGATGGAACGTCAACCATGAGATCCGGCAACACTCTTTCCACAAAATATCTATAAGGAACTCAGTTAGTAAACCAAATTATCTGTCTCCTGCAACCTCCTCGTCTGAAATAATCACACTCTCTACCCTCTCATGAGGCTGTGAATATTGCCCGCTGCCGGTAGCCATTCGCATTTTAGTGTACATAAGTTCCTATGTAAATCTTGTTTGTCATGGTATGAAAGACCAGCATGTTAACTTTGGCAACGAACTTTTGAGACACCCTGTATTTACATTCACGTGAATAAGTTGTCGCCTAAAAAAATACAAGGATTTAGAAGTCAATTCAATAAATAACAATTAAAAATGTATTTCTTGCTGCTACTTGCAGTTTATAATTTAGAATGATTTAAAGCACAAAAGTAAGAAAAGCCACCAACTTCCTCATATTCCCAAACAGCTGGCCTAACATTGTTAACAATTACAATTTTAAGGTCTTCTGAGGTGCTTTGCATTGTTTTGGGTTCGAGACTTCTAGTATTTGAATGCGGTACCTACTGAGTGTGCACTGTCATTCTCGTGAAAGTACTTTTGTGTGGAAAGTTTCATCAAGCTTTCATCTGCTCTGTTGTTGAAGATGAAATACATAAAATCTCTGTATTGATCAGCATTGATAAATAAATATTTACAATTAGTTTTGGCGATTTCGCTCTCATTATCTCAACTTTAATTAGAATATTACTGGGAAAAATGCCATTTATCACAATAGAAAGCAAACTGCAAATAATAATACTTTATTTTAGTTATATATTGCATTTCATTCATAAAGTATTTGAGTACCTTTTTGGGAGCGGGGATATTTACTTCAGTTTTTTTAAAGACTTTGTAGAGACATTAGGTAATTTTTAAAGCAGGAGCGATGAAAAATGAGCAAACGCCTTTGCCGGGAATCGAACCTCGGACCTCTGGAATACGCGCCCAGCGTGCAGACCACCACACAACGAAGACACGCGAAGAAGGTGGGAGAAATACCTTATAAGGTATTTTTAGGTTTTATGTATTTTTCCCTTGCCTCGAATAGAATTAATTGAAAGAGAAATATATCTCTAATGAAATTCGAGGAAATAAGTTTAAATGAAATGGAGGAAGAAATGTGTATAATTTAATATTTCGTACAAGGAAGTCATGCTCATGAGGTTATTTTTCATGTTCCTATAACGTATATAACTCGATTAAAATAAACTTTTGTTGTAATAGGGTTTTGACATTTGATTTTTTCGCAGGTAATTTGTTATCAACTGAGAGTGGAATAACAAATCCATCTAAAATGCAGTAGTTACTTTTTGAAATCTTGGACCAAATAATTATTCAGTTCAATTCTTTTAAACATACAGTTCGGATGAACGGCGACCTTCATAACGTGAAGCTCTTTTGCTGCATAATATAACATAACATACAAGCTCTTTTCTCTGTATTGTGATGAGTTGCATCCATCTGATAGGTGAAATGATTTCACAAATATTTATTGAATGCACTTCATTAAGTTCGACTCTTCCCCAAAAGTGCTCGGAGACAATAACATATATGAAATAGTTATAGAAGTTATAGTGTAACATAAATCCATTAGCAGACTACAAGAAGTAATAACAGAAGGTACGATGAATCTAAATTTTCTCGAATTCAAATCCTAAAAGACTCAAGAATCTTTGAAATATCGAATTTCTCTCATCAATAACAAGGATAGAATTTTAAAACCTTTCTTTCATTATTAAGAGCCTTCAGTTAAATCAAAATTTGAAAACTATTTTAAAAGAAAAACTACTTTAGGAAATATAAATTCTAAGTAAGTACACTGCGAAACAAAAAGTGTTGGGGGGGGCGTTTTATATATCCCGTTTCAACTGGGCCGCTTGACGAAATTCAAATTGCGTTTTTCATGTCTCGAAAGTGCGACTTAGGATAAGTATCAGATTTATATATAGCGTTGTACTAATATAGGTATTTAGACACAAAATCGGACATTTTCTGTAATGATATGCCAATTGTTTTCCATATTTCGATTCTACGACTCAAATTATGCCAAACTACCAAATTTTGTAAAAATCACACTAGTAGTTTTTAAAAAATTAGCTCTCAAAATCTTAGTTCCTCCATGTTAATTAAATTTGGTATATATTATAACATATTTTTTATTATTATTATTAAACTTATTTGATTCTTCATTTCACATTTCGAAATTTAGGCTTATTCCAAATAACAATTTTCCATTTTTTATGATTTACTTTGAAAATTTGTATTTTTAAATAATTTTTATAACTATTTCGAAAAACATTTAGAATTATAACCTATAAAATTTTTACCATCATCATTAAGTAGATGTATTTCTAAGCATACCTGCAAAACATTATACCTTTTTATTCAAAATTTTCTAAGATATTCGCGAATTTACATATTGGCGTGTTTTGAAATTTGACATATTTATTATAAACGATAATAACGTCAAATATGGTTTACGCACTTTGTTAAAATTATTTGAAAGTATGAACGATGAAAAAAAAGCATGAATTCGTGTACAATGAATAAAAGGAAAGGGAAATAGGTTGCTATATATTAAGAAGTTCTCAAAGTTGAATTATTCTTGGCGCAATCTGAAAAAAAAAAAAAAAAAAAAAAAAAAGCACCAAGATTAATTTTTTAATTTTTCCACAAATTTCTCACTAAAAATTACTACATTTAATATCTAAGCATAATTTGAGTCGTACAATCGAAACATGGGAAAGCATCGCTGTGTTTTTTCACAAAACGTCCAATTTTGTGTCAGAATACCTATATAAGATTAATGCTATATATAAATCTAATATATATATACTAAGTAGCGCTTTCAAGACATGAAAAACTCAATTTGAATTTCGTCAAAGGGTACAGTAGAACGGAAGATATAAAACCGTCCCCTTTTAGCTCAAAAAGCTATTAATTTCGTTTTGGCATTTTGCATTGATTCACTATAAACGGCGAATCACTTTTTAAATTGTTGCTGCCAAATAATAAAACCATGTATTATATTTAAAGAAATTAAATAATGAAGAATCTGCGTAAATGTATGTATGTTTCTCGCCGTGATAAACAACGGTACCTACAGCCTTCCATTCTTTGAATAAGGTACGTCTCCTCCCGAATATGGGCATCTGGAAGCCCAAATTTGGAATTTGGATTATTTTTTATTATCTATTTCATATTTTGCATTTATGAGTTTTCGATCAAGAGAATCAACGATATCAAAGCGAGCAATGGCAACACTGTACCGGGGGGGGGGGGAATCATTTTTATCACCAGCGCACGAGACTGTGTAGCAGAAGTTCTAAAGATATGCTCATTTAAAAATTACTTGCGATATTTCTGTTGAATTGAATTTTATGGTTTAAGTGCGAAGAACATGATATTCAATAAATAAAGGTAACACACACAACGTTATAAAAAAAAAACGCTCTTTTGGGCGTAATGTAAAATCTGAAAGCTTTCAGATTTTTTTCCTTTCAGATTTATTTTTCTTTCACAATATACGTATGCTTATAAAGGAGAAACAAATGAAACTTAGTATAGAAAGTATGTAGTTAAATATCGTGAACCCCGGAGCTAATTTCTGAATACATATGAGAAAAAAAAAAATGAGTAAGTATCTAGATTTTGTTGCATTTCTTCAATCGCTTTTGTCAGAATACGTGTAGACGACAGTAGGATTATGTTAACAATAGTGCAGATAATTCTGTCTTTAAAACTAAGGGTGGAGATTTCAGAGTCATTACGAGGCGATACTGGTGATACAGACCAAAAGAAATTGTAACAACTGCCTTCATTTCATAATTAATACTTCTGTTTGGCACCAGTAAAACGAATTTTTCCAGCATTTTGAACCAAAACATTCAAAAGGTTTCTAAATTAGGATTTGAAAAGTTGAATAAAAAATGAATAATTAAAAAAGAGCGAGTGCAATGAATTTTAATTAAAATTTCTTAAATAAATTTTTTAATAATTAAAAAAGGGGGCTTTGAGAAAGATTTGAGTTTTCGAAACTCGAACCTTTCTCAAGTTCCTTGGAATTTTAAGATTCGAATATTTCATCCTATTTAAACTATCACTAATTAGATTTTTTAAATTAAAAAAATAAGAAAAACATATTTTTTTTAAATTACAAATGTTTACGCTAATAAAATCCAAGCGGTATTTGGATAAAATGTATGTTTAATTGAAGTATTTTATGTTTATATCAATTACTAACATTCTTACAGTATTCACATAGTATTTAAAGCTCTTTAAAGATTATCACAGATTTTAAGAGTGAAAGAAAATAGCAATAGGTTTTTAGTTACAAGACTGAACAAAAACAACATGGACAGGCCTGGTTTTTCTTTTTTAAATATAACATTGAAATAATTAAAGGAAAAAAAACTACTTACCAACACTAATCATACAAAGGAGAATAATTTCTTTCCAGCAAAGAGTAATATCTGATCCGACTTCCTACAAAAGTATAAGTCAAACTGATTATTTATTTCACTCAAATAATTCTAGTAAAAAAAGGAGGAAGAGGAATTACTCTGTTTAGAAATGAAACCAAATTTGTAAACTTCATATAAATTTTTCATACAATATAAAAGATTTCAGAAAAATATTTTAAATTATTCTGGATACAATAACAAATAAGCTTTACTCATCTCAGGAGAACCGAATTAAATCATGGATGTTGGACAGTTGACAAATTGTAGAATAATTATCCTATGTATCCTCATTATACAGAGCAAGACTTCTTAAACGTTTTTTAATTGCGACCCCCTTTCTATCACTGAGATTTTTTTCGCGACCCCAGATACTGAATATAGAATAAAGATATAAAAATAAATATCCTCCCGTAAATAATTTACTCCTTTGGTAAACAATATACATATAAACAGAAGTATTTTAGGATTTATTTTAAGCAAACAAAAATTAAAGAAACTTCTAATGAGACAGATACACTCATTTTCTGTTGTATAACAATTAAATGTTCGTGCGATATTTGACACTGCACAGGACATAAAGCATCTTCAACATGTTTCAACGTTGAACGGCATTTGGTTTTAATTAGCGTTAAAGCTGAAAAAGTAGTTTTATAAAAATATGTGGTGCTGAATGAGAGAAGAACATTTAATGCCACTTCAGAAATAATTAGAAATTTGATTCTAATAAGTTCTAAATAATGAGAAATCTAGTTTTGTGAATTTCAAGATTGAAAGATTAATGCAGTGGATGAACGAAGATTGGAACAATCTTAAACTCGATTCAATTTCAACTTGATGATGACCTTGATTCAGCAATAAAGGGAAAGGGAAACAAAAAAGTGGCTCTTGGATATTTATCAAAGCAATCTGATTCATCAGATGGCATATCGCACGTATAGTATGAGACATCATTCATCAGTGCCTGTCCACAGTTTAATAATAGTGCAGATAATTCTGTTTTTAAAACTAAGCGTGATAACAACAATATATTTAATAAATAAAAGTAACACAGAAAACGCCTCTTTGGACGTAATTTAAAATCTGAAACCTTTCAGACTTTTTTTCAAATACTTTTATGACTGACAACAGGAATTTGTTATTTAGAAAGAAAAAGAAAACATTCTAAAACTAAATAAATATGTATATATGGTAAAATACATACCTCTAAAAATGGCAGTGTCGACTGAAGTATCTTATTACCCGTGTTAGTTACTTTTTTAGGCAAACAACGACGCAGTGTTGTCTTTCTGTAAAAAATAAAAATAAAAAATGGAATGCTAATGGATGAAATAGAAAATACATTTACAGATTTTTATAGTAAATTTCTTGTAAATCAAGAGAAAATTAAATTTATTCTAATGTCAAATCTATATGCACATCTCTATCACTACGTGATACATTACCGATGATGCCTTATCCTAAAGATGGAGGTCTGACAATGTTCCTCAAAGGCATAAACTTTCCTCAAGTTCTTGAACAGAATAAAAATGCGTACAGTTTTAATGAGGATCAGATTTCAACTTCTAAGAAGCCATCATAATAGAAATTATGCCTCGGACAACGATGTAAAACTGATTTCTTTTGTTTTAACTAACACAAACTCATTTAGCGTGGAAGAATGGTGGCAACTGCTTTACAATTCAGTCCAAAACTATCTTAACATGCATGAAATCACGGATTTCTTAGAAACTGTGAGCTATAATTTTATATAAAAAGGAATCGATCTTCAGGGCATTTACATATGTAAGAGAGCGATATCTTCGCGCATCCTGCTTTTCAAGGTCCTCTATAAGTCTTCTATCGGGTTAAGATCAGGAGATTTTGTTGGTCACTGTATTCGCTCAATGTCTTCACGTTTACGTAATTCATCAATGAAGTTTGTTCAGGGTGGAAGAGCATTTTCGTACCTAAATAAAAAGTCAGATCCATATGCACCTGTAAATATTTCTAAGACCTCATCACGATACCTCTACGTAGTCATCTAACATCCAGATTCTAACATCTCTCCTTCCCAATGGCCACGCACTTGCACACTAAACATTGGAAGCATCATTGATCATTTAACCACCTCATAATCAGGGGCATTTTCCAGTGTGCTGTCCGGAAGAAAAGCGGCATTATACTAGCAAGAAGAGGCGCATAGGCAACCATAAATATTCATGCATTTTTCTGAGTTTCAAACCCTGTTCTAACATCCTGACTGTCGACACCACAAATCCCCATATCGAAGAGTGCAACACGAGCAGGCATTTATACTTGTGGACAGTTGCCTTAGCGAACAGCGAATACTATTATCCGAGCATCTTTATGAGAGAACACAACACATAATACAACTAAAAAATCAACAAATGTTAGCTGCTGCTATTTGAAGGGATTCTTTAAGTCAGATATCCAAATAAATACAGGAAAACCTTCAGTTTTAACCTTCACTGCCTAATTTAACTCGTACTAACGAGTATTCTAGGGAAAAAAGGCTGTAGGTTACTTTTAGTTGAAAATCAAAAATGAAGAACATTCATGCTCGATTTGTGTCTCGGATTTTGATAGAGTAGCAAGAAAGAAGACATAAAAGCTTACTGTGGATATTTGCAGGCAGGAAAACAAATTCTTAAAATGTATCATAACGGGAGATGGGAACTGGTGTCTACAATACGTCGCTGTTGAAGGGAAATTTACGTATAACTGATACAGTACATTTTTATTACGAAATACTTTATTTTCATTATAAGTATACTCCGTATGCTTTATTTTAACACAAAAATTTATGACAAAATTATAGACCATATATATGTAAGATAAAAAAAAATACGATTGTTTTGCTCTTTGCGAGCAGTACCTTCTAGAACCAGTACCTAAACCCTAAACCAGTACCTTCTAGAACATTCGCACCTATTACATAACCTCCTCATATAAATGCTGCGTCATAAGTTTTTCTACATTTTTCTAGAAGCTACTCTGTTACATAACCTTTCATATAAATGCTGCGTCATAAGTTCTCCTACACAGATGCCTTCTCGCCTTCGTCCTGCTAACGCTTCCGCTATGCTCCTCTTTCTTTGTTAGAACGTTATGACGTATTAAAGTTTAAAGTCAGTCGTATCTAATAGTTCAATTACTGAATAAGTTATTTGATTAACTCCATCTGGAAAAAGTCATCTGCTCTAAATTAAAATAAAGATATGCTTGCTGTTAAAAGTGAAAAGTCCTGAGTCGTCATTTTTCTCCGTGTTTCAATCATCCCAGCTTCGTCAACCATCTGCCAGAACGTGTAATGGAATAGCCTCACCATTCGCCCACGATGTGTTGGAATAACTGAAAACATTACAGTTAAAGTTTAAAATTTGTTGCGTTTATGAATGATGTGTTACAAAATTTTTATATTTTAAAATACCTTCACTAAAAAACATAATTAAATAACATGAAAGTTGGCATCTTAATTTGTAATATAATAGAAATATTTTCATCAACAAAAATTGGAAACACTTTTATTTGAGCATTTAATTTGTGTAAATATTTGAACTTTTACTGTGTGGAAATTTCAAGAACTTTACAAAATTTCTTTGACATTCTTACCTCAGAACTCTAAAATATGCTATTGTTTAAAAATAATACAGTACTAAGATTCATAATTCAATTCAAAATTTTATGACTTTCAAATGAAATGTCAAAATATCGGTCAAGTTTTATGGCAATAATTTTTTTTTTTTTTTTTTTTAAAAAGAAAGAAAGAAAGAAAAAGGAAAAAAAGTAAATATGTTTTGTATTTTCACAATCATAACTTTTAACATTTTGCTGCTCTAATGCTTGTTCTTCCACCCTGCTCACACAACTTTTCTTTTGAAGGGGGGGATATGTAAGATATAACAAAATATGATAGCTGTTTCAAAAAAATAATTGACGACCTCAAAATTAACATTCTAAATTTGGTAATCTGCCCCTAAATTCATCTCTTCTCACAGGTTCCAGACTTTTCTATCTTATGTAACGTTTTAATGCAGATGTCTCTCGTCCAATCAAATTACATCTAAACCAAAACTGTGAACTGAAACTTCAGCCTTCTTGCTATGAAAGTACTATAACCTTTCCCTTTTTCCCGCGTTAGCTGTCCCGCTGGTAAGACGCTTTTCATCCATGCTGCTGCCGCTTACTTGCTTAAGATGACGTCGTACTTCAAAATGGGAGTTATTCTATTCAAATATTATTAAGAAGTATCTTGTCCGAAAAAGGATGATTTGATATGCATGGAAAAAGTAAAGATTGTGATTTTTCAAGATATGTTGTGCTAAATTGCGTCATCATGCCACCTTCAAACCACAGTTTCATTACATATATATATATGTATATATACATATATATATATATATACATATAAAATATAAAATATCTAATACGTAAAATATAAAATCTAACTGTCAAATTATAAATTAATAGCCCTTTAACTTCCGTTTCATTCTCAAAATAACAGCAATAAATGTTACTCCCTGCAGGTCTGATGCGAACTTGCGATGAAATCTGAACCCAAAATCCTGTACATTAAAGTATCACGTATTCTGAAATGAAATTCGTTATAAAAAGGATAATTGCGTCACAACTCGTTCTTTGGGATCCTCAATAAGTCACTTACATGGTCCCCGCACTTTACATCTATTATACAGAAGTTTCGAGTTCGTAAAGTCAAACTATACCCCTTAATTGCTCGAAACAGTATATTATCTATTGATAACAAGTTACTCATTTACAAGTCCATTCTACGTCCACTTTTGTGTTATGCAAGTCCAGTTTGGGCATATACCAAGAAAACTCATAGGAAAAGATTGCAAGTCTGTCAAAAGACTGTTCTACGACAAATTGTAAATGCTGAATGGTATGTAAGGAATAATAGAATACATGAAGAGTTATGCATTGAGTTACTTCGCACTCATTATTATAACTTAGCCAAAAACATTTCATGAAAGGCAGCAAAATATTGATAATCCCAGTATTAAAGTCTGTGATTAAGACTCTAACAGTTTGGAGAATATGGATAGGCCTATAGGCCCAGCTAAATGTATGGATCATGTAATATGCAACTCTAATAATTTGACATATGTGTTTATTTATGTCTTTATTTCATTCATCTTATCAGCTACACTTCAAATTTTCTGTCTGCATTTTCACTTTTGTGTATGTTATAGCTATATGAATATAATTATTCCAAGTTCATGTCTTAATATTTGATGTTGTGTAATTGATAATTCTTAATGGATTCAATTTGCCTATGTTTGCACTACCTTATTCTTGTCACAGTCACCAGTTTCTCGACATTTCTGCTCTCACTAATTTAGACAACTCCATTGTTATTAATACGTTAACAATATTCTTATCTGACCTTAACAAAATTATTAAAAAAAAAACCTATTCGATTTATCTTTTATTATATACTACCTTTTGAAACGATCAAACTGTTCTAGAAAGAGTAGAGCCTTGGCTCAGGCACCCTTGTGTCTCAAACACCGTTCTACAGAGAGACAACTCGTTCCTCTTCTCTTCGCTTGTCTCTTGTACTGCTAGCTATGCAAGGTTTCCTTTCCTAAATTTGTCCATTGTTTCAAATGTAAGCTAAACAAAATTGTGAAGTGCATAGCCAGCGCACTCATAGCGATAATATGCATTATCGAAAAATAAAATGATGTGTGGAATTTGCCGTTATGTGTGTTCTTCGAATGCCATCTTGCTAACTACGCAACAAAGTCGCAATCCTCTCCAACGGCATTCCGTTCCAACTCTCACAAAGTCATAAATCATCTTATTTCAAGATGTAGCGCAGTGTTATTTCATCTACTAATGCAGTCTTACTTTAATAATAGCGCAGTTATCAAAATGTCTAATTACGCAGTTTTATTTCAAAAATGGTTTTTACTGTACATCTAATGGAACATTTTTATTATATATAAATATAGAATCTCCACAGAGAATGAAACACTCACTCGTAACCTTCTGGACATTCATTTTCACATTGTTTTTTCGTACGACACGTTCCATCTGTGCATTGTTGGCTGACTGTCAGATACCTGGGTAAGAAAAACGAATATTCAGAATGCACGTTGTGATTAGATGTAAGGTGATGCGAAGTTATCTTCAATAATTCTTATTTGCTAAGAAACTTATAATTTATTTATAAAATATTAGTATTAATACGTAAGACATATGTTGCTAAGCAAATCACGAAAGCATTAACATTATTTGAAATTTTGTAATGTACGAAGCTTCGGATAATCTCGTAATAAAATACACTCTCCTTCTATTTAGCACCGTTTTATTAAAGAATCATTTATAAGGATTTTAAGTTTTTACTAACGTTTATTTTACTTTAAACTTTGCTATCCTCTCTTATTTTCCATTTCTGGCAAGAATAAGCTCGAGTAGGATTTTTATGCTTATGAGTTGCAAAACTGTAAAAGGTATTTAAGAAGTGGCTTCTAGCCAAGAACTGAAAGAGCCTTCCTGCTGCCCTGCTACGCGCGTGCTTTTCAGTCAGTTCGTGTCTGCCTTTAGACCAAAACTTAGTTCCTGCTGAAAAACTAGACGTATTGTAGTATTTGCATCTAGCTCACTACATACGCAGGTTCAAAAGACTAATTTTTGCGTTAATAATCTCTGCGAAGCATTTAAGTTTAATTCTTATTAAGTTAGTCGTTTAGTGAATATCTCTTATTTTGTACGTTTTAGACCAAAAGTGTTGGTCTCTGTATCACGATGTGCGGGAGCACCTGTGCGCTGTGGGAAATAAAGGGTAAAGGTAATCCTTCTTGACTTATTTGTCTACTCATCGTACAAACGAACATAGCTTGAGTAAGCTTCCTGTTCCCGCTCAGGATTCATGTTGATGTTTCCCAAATCAGTTAGCAGGAACAGTAGCCCTGACAAAGTTAGAATAACTATGAAATCTTTATTTAACAAGTCAGAGATTTTGCTTAACTTAGATAGGACACAAATAGAATACAAATCAAAGTTAACAGTCTTTACAAACAATGAAATCGAAGCATTGAAATAAAGAACTTACAAGAGGCTCATTTATAAGTTTCAAACAGCTTCAGGCTTACCTATTAGGCAATATTATCAGGAGTATATTCCATAAAAGAAGGTAACATGCCGAAAAGAATGAAGCACAAGTACAATGTTAGCACAAAATCTTTTTTTTAAGACTTTTGCATCTGAACACTTAGGTACAATTCCATTCTCGTCAATAGTACATCGTTTGGCTCTCGTTTGATTTTGATGTTCTCGAGTTTCGTTATGCAAAAGTGACATTAATTTATTCTAACAACTTACAAAAATGAAAACGCGGTTGTATGCTTTAAGACAAAATTTGTGTTAAAAACAAATAAGTTTCTACAACGTTGACTCTTTGCGAGCTAAGCAATTGCTCAGGAACATGAAGCAAATGCTTCAGATTTTCATAATAAAAAAGAAAAGACAAGACGGAAAAATAGACTGGAAATCGGTGAAATGATTTTACTTGACACCGCTGTAATCGATTCCAGATTGGTTTGCTCCTGAAATGCGCTGATTATTTAAGCCACAGATGTTGCCATAATCATCGACACCATATATAAGTCTTCTGGGGTCGCCTCTCACTCCTGCTATACCCACGCCAACAAGCTACAAAAAAAGTAAACAAGAGTATAATTATAAGAGATGAGACTTAAAAATCTGTTATTGCAAAAATATTCATATTTATTAAACATCTGCATATTAAATAATCAATTTGATTAATAGTGTTAAATTTGTGCGGTTTGAACAACTGCACTCGTTGACGGAAAAAATGTAAAGAAATTTTCTTTGTATCGTAAAATACTTTTCATAGAGTAGTTATCATGTAAACTATTAATTTATTTGTATTAACCAATTATTTTGTGTTAATAATCTTTACTATATTTCTTTCTTTCCGTTTTCCTGCCGGAATGCTAATTTTTAGTTCTTGCATATTTAAATGAGGTGGAAATAGATAGCATATTTAAGAATTTTTTAGATTGTAGAATCAGAGCCTGTTCCGCCTGCTGAAGGCCACATTACTAGTTAAATCTCTTAATTCGATAATTCGGTTAAGTCATCCAGAGTTCTCACTTAGTTTATATTACCAAAGAGTGTAAGACTGTATAATTAGTAATTAGCGATTGTGAAGTGATTGTGTTTTATATGCCTATGCGCATGTATTTAAAATTAATTTTTTAGTCTTTTTAAATTTGCCCTATTAGGTAATTTTAAATTTGCCTATTTAGGGCTCAACACTTCTAAGCATGTTATTGTAACTTCATATAAATGTCCGCGTTTAATTTAGCGTATTTTGATTTAATTTATTTTCATAGAAATATGTGTTTTTATTTATTTCACGAACTTTATTTAATAATTTTATTGTGTACTTTTTACCCACTTATTTTGCTTGGGAATATTTGCTTCTTTTACATTACACTGCAGGCTTTGTAATTATGAACGGATCGGCGTTTCAATTGTAGAAGATAGCTCAATAAGATAAGCACAAATCCTTCTCATGGGCTTTAGTGGCAATTTTTACCCCACCCCCATTGGCAGCGTGATTCTTGCCAGCCTCACAGCAATCTGGAAATTTCCTGAAAACACATTTCTGAAGCCTTAAGCATGAAATTTCTCGAACCTTCCAGAAGTTCTTGGGTAATTCTGTAAATCTCGGTTGCAGTGGAGCCATGAGTCAATAAGCTCAGTCATTCGAGCGATTTTATTAAGCTTTTTCACGGTAATTATTACCATATAGTTTTCTCTGAGGGTAATTTTGGAAGTCTGCCATATTTTTTGCGTATTAAATAGAATTTGTTTTACCTCTGTTTTTGACCTTGAGTCATGTATAGTTGTTTAACTTAATGTATAACTTGTTATTTATTTCAATACATTGTCAGTTTCATCTTGCTTGGCTTAGGAGTTAAGAAAATCTAAGTTTCGTAGCCTACAGTTTTATGTAAGTATTTTTAATAGATCTTGATTTAATATTATAATGTCTTCTACCTCCAGAAACTGAAAAATTAGTTGTGTACAAAAATGTAAAAAGGAAAAACTAATTATTACTAAAATAAACCCCTCTCTAGGTTTTATACAGTATGGTGGCGAAATGCGTAGAGGCTTGGCAGTGAGACAGCTTCCCAACAAAGTAGGGTTACGACTGCCAGAAAGTAGCAGGGTTGTCTGATTTTGCGCAAAATTGCACATTTGGAGATATTTGGCCACAAAATTGGCGATTTGACATAGACGGAGCAAGAACATTCTAGAACGCACTTTTAGCGCTTTCCTCGGGAATATTCTCGAATATATGTTAAAGCTATTTATACCATGCCTGTACGGGGGAAAAGCAGTGTCTTTAGTTCAGAGATTAGCTTGAGAGCGATCGACCGAGTCGGGAGCTGAACTTTAGTGCTTTGCCTTGAAGCTGTCATCACCGTTATAGCCTGAAGGCTGTGTTGCTGATCGTTTCAGTGTGTTTCTCGTAGCGTTTCGATGAGTCTAAACGTGTTTTTGAAAACTATCCTGTGTAATATTGCTTACTGGCAAATAAATTGTGTTTTGATTCCCTATCAAGTGTTATCATCAATTACGCACCAATATACATGTGTTTCACCTAATAGAGCAAATCGCAAATCTTAACAATTCGGGAATTAATTCATTCTAAATGCGAGATATTGACATATTGTAAACAATGTAGAATATGAGACATGACTATGTTTGTTGACATAACATTTATAAGATTAATTGCGAAAGAAAATATTTAAAAATTAATTTTAGATTTTTCAAAAGCTTTAAGAAATCAGTGTAATGTGCACTAAGTGTTAAGTGATTAATGTAAGTGATTAGTGCAACAAAGATAGCTCCTAAAAAGAGCTTTCAAGGGCAGTTCATGTACTTTTAATTCTCAGACGCCAAGACAGGAAAGTGGCTGATATCTTTGACAGCCGTACCGAAGGCTCCGAGTCAGAATACCGAAGGAGGTAGGGATGTAAATTATCTGCCTCTTTTATCTCTAATCTGCCTCTTTTATCTCTCAATGGAAGCTATCTAATCTGCCTCTTTTGTCCCTCAATGGAAGCTATCTAATCTGCCTCCTTTATCTCTCAACGGCGGCCCACCTATTAGATGCCTCCAAAATAAAGAGATCATCTCTTTCAGCCTTATAGTGGCCCTCTTCTGGCCACCATTGGGGAAAAAAATTTAAAATATCCTTGCTCGCTGTGGGCATAATTGTTTTCTGTCGTTCCTCACTAAGGAAAACCTAACGTTTCTACAAAATTTTATTCAGGGGGAGGGGGAAGATTCAAATCAGGAGTCGGACATTTATATTTTCTTTGTAAATTTCTCATAATACGTTCATTAATTGTCAACAGGTGCACATTTAAATTCTATTTTATAAAATGATTCTTTAAAAAGTAATTATGAATGAATAAAACCAGGAAGCATCAGAATTATCTGAAAAGAAATACATACCAGAAAAATGAGGTACACACTCAGAAGAATGAGAAAAATCACATCTGTGCATGATCTGTTTTTCACTGGGCCTTCGAAAGAATAACTGGAATCCGGAAAAGATCTAGCATCGCCCTGTACATCAAATAAAAAAAAGAATCAATCACAAAAATGATCCTTTTTCACCTCCAAAGCGACACGCCCACAGAAACATGAGAATATTTTGTGCGGAAGACGAATGGTATGAATTATTTGAAAGTTCCTTGCAAAGTATCAAACGCTGCAGATATCGTTTCAACTTGTATTTCATTCAGGAAAAAGATTTAAAGTCATAAAAAATTTATAAACTGGGTTATGATTCACCACATTGTAGTTTTCCACGTTTGTCTCTTGTTGCAATATATTTAATAACTTTCCTAAATTCGAAATTCCATTTTTAGGATATAAAAGCAAGAAAAGGGATACCACTATAGTTGATTTATTTTTATTGATTTGGATCTCACTGCTGCAGGTAGGATCAGAGATAAATGTATTGTAAAATATATATAAATGCGGAAGCATTGAACGAAATTGATGTTATAATACCACTGAAAAAACTCTACTGGTATAACATTCTAGCTTCTAATTCTAGTCTGCTTATAAAATGGTATATAAAATCGTATTTTATATTGCGAAAAAGTTTTTAAAGAAATTATCTGTGCAAGCTCTTCTGTATTAGTTTTTGCATGAGAGAAATGAAATTCATTTTTCTGTAAATCTTAAAATACTTAATTATTCATGTAACTTTTCTCTTAATTTAAGAAGCGTATTCCTACAGCTTTTTGATTTTTAATTAATTGCTAACAAAGCAAAGGAAATAACAAAGGTATATATTATTAGCCCAAAGGGCGTTAGTCCAGAAGGGCTATTAATTTCAAAACTACATTTTGCGTCGATTCACCTTTCAAACTATTGCCACCAAATGTTATCGCCATGTATTATATTATATTTAAAGAAACTAAATAACGAAGAATCTGCATGAATGCATTGTGCAATTTTCTCGCATTGTGAAAAATCAACGGTACCTAGAGCCATCCAATTTTGAACAATGTAGTCCTCCAGCCGAACATGGGCACCTGGAAGCCCCATCACTATTCTGGTAAGTTTTAAATATAAACAAATATGGCTGCTGTGGTAAAACATTAGGCTTATCAGAACATAAACAACTTTTAAATTGTTGATAATTCTACAGCTATTGCATGCAGATTAACTAAATGCATAAAATCCTTACCCGAAAGATAAGAACAACATTATTCAGTCATTTCATTATTCAGTCATACGTATATACTTTTGGTGTTTCCGATTGCAACCAAAAGGAGAGGTGCACAATTACATGTTATAGCAGTCCTATATACAAAATTTAAACGTTCCGAGGCTACTCGTTAATGAGTTATGCGAGATACATACATACGTACGCACGTACAGACCACTCGAAAAACAACTCTTCTGAATCCATTTTAAATCAGTTTTATAATTCGTTTGGGGGGGAAATTCTGTTCCTTTATTCTGTCGTTTGGTACTGATGTCACGCAAAATTATCGTTAAATTGCATTCGGTAGCGGTCAAAATGGGTATTTTTGTTGAAATATGATACCCGAATATTTTGGCGACCTATACGTCGTATAAAGAAGTAAAAAAGTAAATTAAAAGATTACAATTGCTCACTATAGATAACATGAATATTAGAAACTAAATACATCGAATAAAAGCTTAATTTATATACTTGAATAATTAGCTTTCTGAGGAATTCAGTTGTAGATAATCTAGATCCGCCCTGATCGGTACAGTGGTTAGAGATGCTGGTTGCTGTATCGTTGGGTCCGGAAGCATACGTGTTTGTAAATGTTTTGTTTTGTATCTGCACCGCATGTAGGACATAATGCTCGCGAGCTGAAGATATTCTTGAATGATTTAATTATAAGGTAAGAAGTGTGGGAAACCCTCTGATCTGTTCCCCGGGTATCCTCCATCAAAGTGGACGGAATTGCACAGTTAGTGTAATGGGATTTTACCTGTTCGACTAACGGTGAAATTTTAGCGTCCCTCACACTTTTGTCTGTACCTATACCCGTAGACTCAAATCTGTACAATTTATGATTGCAAATAATAAGGTGGTCAAGAGTCGTATAGCTTGAGACTATTAGAACAGGAATGGATCGAATAAAAACTAAATTTAATCCTTGTAAGCCCTCTGGAGATATTCAAAACAGAGGGTATTTACATATTTTTAGAATGATTTCGGGGACGTTCAATTAATGCTTTAAATGTAAAGAGAATTTTCTAATGTTCGATTTGATAGCCTTTTTTCTGGACTATAACTCTCGATTTCCATGAACAAAGAAAGGCTTTTCATCAAATTTCCAAGGGTCCTAATTTCCTTTCCTCTTATATTACCTTCTAGAGTCCATCAATCGTGGTGGATTTGCGCTTAGAAAGAGCTCTTTCTAAGAGGACAAAGTCACAATAGCACATAGGTTAAAGTCAAAGTCAGCTGACTTCACAAGAATACGTCGGAAAGATATAATTACCTGTATCAGTCTTAATTTTGTACGCTTTTTCTTATTTTGCATAACAAATTTATTTTAATTTGATGCCTTTATCTGAACTTCTCAACTTCCCCTCACGTTCTCTCGCCAGGATATAAATTTAAAGTTAAGTGAAGTGCATATTTAAATAGGTGAATCTCTGAGTTTATTCAGAGCGTGTTTTCGCTAGCCAGTGCACGTTATATTGTTGTTTCGCTGTTACGTTAGTAAGCCTCTTCGCCATGTCGAAATTATAATCACGCCTGTTAGGTTTTTGGTGTGTCCACCTGTTAGGCGTTTGAATTATATTCTTCGTTTTTAGTTTCACCGCAAGTTTGACGGTGCCTTTGTAACGCACGAATACCGTGCCCTTCTGTTAACTATTTTTGAATTAATAAACGGTTATTTTCAGCCTCTCTCTTCTGCTTTGAAAGTAATGTAAAACGAGAGAGAACTACAGTTTTTTCAAGGAATGCAGTGATACTTTTCAAACTATGACTTGCTGCTTTGTTTTAATGAAGTTTCACTCTTTGAAAGTCATTGGGATAAAGAAGTGGAATTTTTTCTGTAAATATAGGACGTAACACTTTCACTTAATAGTACTGTACACTGAGTTGTTTTAATTTTGCATTTTGAAAGAATCAAGCAACAATCAAAAACCCCTTCACATTGACGGAACCAGGATTTAAATTTTTTCTCTTCGTTTTCGATAATAAAATAGACTGCTTTTTGCTATAGCCATTTAGTTGGGTAAACCCATGATTAATCAATGGTCACAATGTATTTCCATTGATCTCTTGCAATATAGTTTTCATACAGGGTTCTGCAAAATGCTATGCGTAGCCACGTACTCCGCAAAAGCTGGTTAATATTATTTTTTCTGACTTTGTAAAGTTATAAATCTTGGCTTATTATTTTATTTATTGTTGCTACAGATTTAAAGACTTTGAAATTGATTTCTGCGTTGACGGATTTTCTCTTGTTACCAGCGATTTAATCTTAGAAAAATTAGAAATAGTGCGTACCTTTTTTGGGAGTTCGTTTAGAGTCTTCTTTCCATGTAGAAATAATGATTGGTGGCTTTTTTATTTTTATTTAATAATGCTACTTATTTTGCGCTTAGAAACTTTAATACCATGAATTTCACAACGTTTTTGAGTTATGGAATAGAAGTGTTTCTCTTCTGAAAGCGCAAAAACGTGTCCTTCAATCCATAACTTGTTTACATGCCACATCTCGAAAGGAGAATATATTTAAAAGTAGCATATAATGTTTCTTATCTCTTATTTCTTTCTGTTGCTAGACACTTTTATTCCAAATCATTCACTTTTTTATAATTTGTTACCGAAATCGTTCTAAAGTTGCATCAACATCCCCTGCATAAAACATGTTTTCAAAGTGTACGACTAATGACTGCAGAAAACAAGGTACAGCACCAGAAATCTACAGTCTATTACTCAGAAAATGGATTTTAGGTCTTGAAATAACATAAATTTTCGCATGTTTCAAGTTCTATTTATGGATGTTTTTTAATTATTCTTTTATTAAAAGCTTTTGCTTTAGAGAGAAGCTATGTCGTTTTTTTTTTTTTTTTTTTTTTTTTTTTTTTTTGTTGTTGTTGTTGCTTTAAAAGACCGTTGACTCTAAGAAAGTCGAGCACAAGGAGGAGATTGGAGTAAATTTCTTCTCTAAAGAGGTCCAAGCAACCTAATATATGCACCTAATATGTGCTCGACAGACGCCTAATGTTCTCTTCACTTGGTGCACGTGGCAAAGATTTTCATGCCCTCCTTGAAAGAGAGGTTCATAATATGACCCCTGGCAATACCTGAGAGCGCAGTTTGAGAGCTCCTGTGACACCCAAGGGTTTCGAGTCCAACCAGGCTTGCTGCCCAGGTACCAGACATGCGTAGGGGCACCAACCACTCCACTATGATTTGTGATGTTTTCAGAGAATATAATTCCAGATAAGTAAGGGCAGAAGAGGAGAGAGTTAAAAGGCCACAGCCATCCTTTGCTGAGTCGTTTTAGAAATTAATTTCAAGAAATGCATGGCGGTTAAAAGTGCCTGGGAATAATTTTCACAGTCAGCACTGTGGTCTTCACTTCAGCAGGTCACATAAGTTGTAGTTAATGTAGTTAGCCCTTGACATCTGTTTTGCGTGCTTTAAATTTGGAAAACTGTGTTATTCAAACAAATATATGTAACGTTATAAGGTATTTCTCCCACTTTCTTAGCATGCCTTCGTGGTGTAGTGGTCAGCACACTCGGCGCTTATTCGAGAGGTCCGTGGTTCTATTCCCGACGAGGACATTGTTCATTTTTCATATCTCCTGCTTCGAAATAACGTAGTGTTTCTACAACGTTAATCGAAGATTAGATTGTTTAAATTAAGCTCATCCATTCACAAAACCTCAGAATAATTGCCAATATAATGAATTGTATAGATCAATCTAAATATTTTTGTCATCAAAAGCTTACCTTGACTGAACTGACCCTAGATGAGGCCGGGCAGCAACAGCAACCACCCATTCCACGCTTCTTATGTCAGCCCAGTTTTAGTCCCGTCCATGATCACATTGGGTTCCCACAGAGGTCTGAAAAATAATTTAACTCCGTTACGAAATTCAAAAATTGTCAAAAAATAATTTTATTATTTGTATAGCTTTATATATATATATATATATATATGTAAATCAAATTCTAAAAAATCGGAACGATAAAGAATAAAATGCTGCATTAAATATTTGACGGCTAGTCCTACTTTCTCCTTTGTTACAATAAAAAATGGTAAAACGCAAATTAAAGAAAATTACAAAATTGTAATCAAAAAATGTTCACCTCAAAGAGGAAACAATATAAAAAAGGGAAATTTGTACATATTAAAACCAAAAAAAATAAAAAATAACAATTTTTAATCTCCTTTGTTTAAAGCTTCAAACAGAACTTGCCAAGGGAAAAGTGTTTTGAAGCCTTAAACCAAGTTGACTAATGGGCGACGGAAAATACGTTTCGTTCCAATGAATTTTCCTGAGACTTTAAACCACTTAAATTAATCCAATATTCTTTTCAAACAGAATTTATTTTAAAAGTCTCATAAAATTCAGTTCTTTTCCCTACATGCCTTCGCATATACAAACGGTTATATACAATTGCAAAAAATGTATTTAAAAAGGCTAATTATGAACCAAATACAATACAAAAAAATAATAATAATAAATTCTGTGAACAGAATTTAAGAATCAATTTAATTTCAAAAATGAAAATTAAATTGTACAGTCGTAGTATATATATCCTAATACGAGGGCTGGCTCATTTAAGTGAAGGGAAAAAAAACAAACATTTTTGCGAAATAAAAAATTCTGCCAAAGGAAAAAATTAAATTGTAAGTTCTGAGGCTAATCTTGCATACAAAGGGGGAAAAAGATGGTTATTACAGAAAGGGGAGGACTCCCTAATATGACACAAAAATCCACAAGGAAGCTAATCAATAAATCCAGGCTGATTCTAGAGACTCATAAAGTATCTTTTAGCCTGTTAAAAATATGATGAGAGTACAAACAATAACCCAAATAACGTTATCTCTCTACAGCTTCAGTTAAATTTCAAAACTTGATTTAAACAACGTGAAACTACCCGGAGTTTAAGCTAATTGAATGGGGCAAGGCACACAAGGACTATCTGCATTAGAAGAGGAACGCTTTGAACAACTTTTTAAGGAAAACTGACTCGCATTCAGGTTAATACATATAGAGGAAACACGAAAAGTCAAACTTGCAGTTAGTCCGTTCGCTGGTAGAACTGGGATTCGCCCAAAGCAATTGCATTCTTTGTAGTCCCTTAAAAACGCTCTGACTCGCACAGATTTCACTTAGAAAGCCCAGATTTCCGAAAACTGTCATGATAAAGAGATGTTTTTTTGATGATCTATAAAGTAGTAGAGGCGTTTTGATTCATTAGTGCCAAAATGCCCTTAGTACTTTATACCTGGATTTTAAGTACTTTCAATACATTGACTAATTTCTTGGACGTAAACAAGACGCACGTATATGTATGCTTTTACAGCTATCATAAAAATATTCTAAGCCGTATATAAATGGCCTTGCTCTTCAGAGGGTGAATATTTGCTCATTGGAGACATCATTTGCAGTTGTGCTGCGAACAGAAAGCCACAGTAGCAACGTGGAAGGGTGCGTTCTACAGACAAAAACATATTTAGTCTAATTCGTGATTTGAACATTGACATGTCTGATATGATACACCGTGATCACTTTATTGTCTGGATAGATATGGAGTTGCAAGTAAATAAACAGCTTCATACAAGGGAAGGAGACAAGCGATACTGTAGCGACGTATAACATTTCCTCTCCACTGTACTTCTTTTCACAAATGTCATCATCCATCGATTTCTGGTTATGACAACAATGTCAGAGCTCTTCATAGAATGGATGTTGCCGAATTGTTGGAAAGGGGAGGCATTCAGTGAAAGAAGTAGCTCACACGTTCTCTTGGTTTGAATAAAATTAGATTTGTATGGGATGTTCTGAGAAGATTCCTTTCAGTGCACCCAAATCCACCAGTCTAATATTTCAAAATGTCGCTCACAGAGGAATGGAAAACCATGTTGCAAAAACTCTTTGATAACATTATGCGCAGCATGTTTCGCGGTCTGAGGTAATCAGATTCTCCAGGAAGAGCTCCACCTAATTTCATGTCCTGTATTTTGGGGTGAAACGCCTGTAGACTGACAACCAGTGGCATGGACCATCTGTATATGGAAGTAAAATTCTTTCTACATATATCCGGTTGTTGCTCAATGTTCCTTTCAGTGGCAGATTTATGAAACAACGCTCTCGCTTCACCTAAAATTAAAACACCTTTCATATTAAAACAGAAAACAATTACTCTTTTTGATTATTGCGGAGTCCTTGCGATTGAGACTTATGTGAACCCCATTAATTATCCTCTAGATATTTCTTATATTATATTATTCCTTTTTGTGGCATCTCTAATATGAATTTCATCTACAGTAATATTTGTGAAAAATGCAATACCATGAAGGAATTGATAACATGAAATGAATGGAATTAAATCCACATATTACTGATAATGGTACAAATCAACAATCAAATTTGCAAGACAAAAAAAAAAAAAAAAAAAAAAAAAAAAAAAAAAAAAGACAGAAAGAAAGAAAGAATAAAATGAAAATCAAAATTCAGTGCTTTGTGTGTCCTCCACGCTGAGTGAAGAGAGCCTGTACACGTCGTGGCATTGAATCATACAGCTTCTGAATGTAATCCTGAAGAATGGCATTCCATATGGCTTCGAACCTGACGCCAAAGTTCAGTTTTAGTATATGCCCCACCAGCTTGTACGAGCGAGTCGCCGACCGACGAAATTCCAGACATGCTCAGTGGGGAAACAGAGAAAAAGCAGGCCATGGAAGAAGCGAAACCTGTTGTGCCTTGAAGTCTGAGAAACGTGCATTAGCCTGCTGAAATACAGCGCCCGGAAAGCGTCGAAGAATGGGAAGACCTCTGGCTCCCCAAATTCCCTTATGTAGCCATCACTGTTGAGGTTTCCCGCAATCTGTGCTAGATGGAATCGACAATCATACCCAATACCTCCGCACACCATGATGCGAGGCGTTTGTGTGGAAGCTGGAAGCAGACGTTCCCCTCTGTAACATTTGGCGCGTACTTTTCTATCATTGTACTCCAAATTATAGCCATATTCATCGAAGAAAATAACTTGTGGCCACAGGGCACGCCACGCAGTGTTACCGTACCCATTGGAGTCAGAGGCGTCTGTGATTCAGCGACAAGAGAATCTTTCGCAGAGAAACCCTTGCACGCAGTGTGCACCCTCTGCAGCAAACGGCGAACACCGTGGAGCTAGACAACACAATACTTGTAGCCGTGCTCCAGCGTTATGCTAACACACGAGAGGACGCTGTACGATCCGTCACAGCCATGCAGATGAGAAGTCTGTCGTTCCGTGCCGTTGTGATATTGCGTGCCTCACTACCAGAGGTTCGCCTTACTTGATTCTCTCCTGCCCACTTCTTCCAAGCACGCATCACTGTTGTGGCATTCTTCGGATTACGCTGCGTGCAGGCTGCGATTGCTCGATACGAAAGCGCACCCTCTCGGATACCGACGATGCAGCCTCGTCCGAACACTTTTAGTTGTTAGTATGGCATCTTCCGCAGTTAACGAGGCATACTGACCACTAATTAAACGTTCATCTCACACAGAGGGCGATAAAAAGCTTTCAACGCAATTTTACAGTCCTTTATGTACATGGAACAAGTGGCCGTTTCTCAATCCATCAATGGCTTTGTAATTCTAATCATATGCATGTTTCCTGTAAGTTTGGATCTTGCATAATTCCTTCATGTTGCTGCAATTTTCACAAACATTAGTGTATTAGATCACCATTGTTGTCTAGTAGATGAAACTCATATCACTTATGTGCGTAATCTAGTTTCTTTGTTAATTTTTGAACATTAGTGTACTTGCTGTTTTCATTGACTGTAACTAGTACCAGCCGCAACAGGTGTTTAAATAAAACTATAGTCTTATGAAAGTGTTGGCTATAGAATGAGCATCTCACAGAATAAGTAGAAATATGTCCGTTTACAGCCATTTATATGTTTTTTATTCGAGTGAAAATAAGCTGGTGCTAGATGCAACAGAATCAAAAAGTTCTAGAGGATCTGCTAGACATTTTTTTTTTTTTTTTTTTTTTTTTTTTTTTCAGAATGAAGACTGAAAATGGAAGAAAAGGCGTGTAATTTTTTTGACATTAACCTTTTCTTTTGGTAGTCTCCTTGTGGGTAATATAATTAAATATTATAAACATAAACTTTAGTTTGTGCATCAAAGATATAACAGAGATGACTTAAAAAGTTCATTTTCAATTTAGAACAATTTCTCAATGAAGTGTAGACGAAAAAAATTAGATTAAGAGCTGATTATGCTGCAACATGTCTTTTTCTTCGGAGAGGTAGCCTAAACTCAGCATTTGTAAAAAAATGAAGTGGCAAGTCTTCAAGCATTTGAATTTCGTTTGCGATAGATTCACTAACAGCTTGTTGAGTTGCGCGCCTCCAACCTGCACGCAACCAAGAAGTGACTGTTGAAACTGGAAAATAGACAAAGTCTTGTTAAGTCCCTTTTTATTCAACTTAAGAAGTTACAATTGCGTGCTCTTGACGCTCACAAACTACGCCGACCCGGCGGTAAAATAAAAATAAGAACCTGAAAAGAAATAATAACAAGACTCTAACTACGAGGCTCTCTAAAAGTAACTAACCTCACCGCGTTTTACAATACCGCTGCTGATTCAGCAAACTTTGAATATCACGTTGAACGAATAACAATTCTCCGAGGCAAGCACACAGGCCGAAACGCGGGGTTCTTCAATTTCTGGCTGACTACCTCCGCGCTCGTGAAGTAAGAACAGCACACCTCGAACTCGTTTCCTTTCTATTTAACTCAGAATACTTCCGCTGATAATTTGAATCCTTGCGCATTCTACTAAAATTTACATACTCTGGCATTGGCAGTTCCAGGGGAAAGTAAGGCTTGACAGG